ATGTAAATTGAAAATAAAACAAAGCAGATCATAAACTTTTCGCGTCATTTTTTGACAGGTGATGACATATTGACGGATTACGTGAGGATAATTCCTTCTACGGAGGGGAGATTTGAAATTATTTACATTTAAATGAACAAATTATTTACCTTTCATATTTTTATTTTAAAAAAAAACTTTTCATCGCTCTAATTTTTTTTTTTACTTAGCTTTCACCTTTACGTTTACGATGCTTTATGGAAAAATATATAATAAAGAAATTAAAAATAAGGCTGTTTTTTGTGAGATTAAATTTTATAAAAAAGATATCTAAATTAATTTATATTTTTAAATTTTTTATGAAATTTTATCAGAAATGTATATAAAATATATATAATTTTATTTACATTTACTACATTATTTATATTATTTTCATTTTTATTATTGAATTTCATTTATGAAAAATACCATGACTATGATTAATATAAAGATAAGATCATATAAATTTCATTTAAGATGATACTGATACTTGTAGGTACCCTTCTTGTTGAAATTGAAAAATCAAATTAACTTCTCCATATATATTTATATAAAAATAAAAGGCCTTAACAGCGGAGAACAATGCTTAACTCTAAAAACAAAAACTTAATTGTATTCTGGTTGGTTTCCTTACTTTATAATTACAGCCAGATTATAAACACAAAATTACATTTCTTAATTACTGCGGGTCTTCTGATTAGTCAAAATGATACAATTTACAACGCGCTAAAAAAAAAGATCTCGTAAGGACACTTACGAAAGCGGATGCAGCTTTTAACTAATTTTAGAATATTTTAACAACTTAAATTAGGTACCTCCACGAGATCGCTAAAAAAAGAGTATAGCATGATGAAAAAGACGCCAAACTTGACGAAAACAAAATTTTATCGTCTAAATGTTTATTTATTAAGAGGAAAAATCAAAGTATTTTTGGGGTATTTTTTTTTTTTTTTAATCGTTCCTAGCACGTCCGAAATTTTCGTTAAAAATCTTTTTTTTTTTGAGTCAGCAAAATTGACCATTTTTTTCCATTTTAAAAAAAACTGGAAATCTCACTTTGAAATTTTTTAAATATCAATTATCATTTTTCAAAACTTATTTTAAGAAAATCAGAAATTATAATGTTTATTTAAAATATTTTGAACCAAACTTAACTTAGCTTTTGTGCCAAAAAGATGTAATTTGAAAAATAAAACAAAGCAGGTCATAAACTTTCGCGTCTCTTGACAGGTGATGAATGACATATTTGACGAATTCCATGAGGCTAATTTGTTCTACGGAAGGAGAAAAGTGAAATAATTTACATTTAAGTGAACAAATTATTTACCTCGTTATTTTTAACGAAAAACTTTCAGCGGTCTAATTTTTTTTTTTTTGTACTTAGCTTTCACCTTTACGTTTATGATGCTTTATGGAAAATATATTATAAAGAAATTAAAATAAGACTGTTAAGAGTGACATTAAATTTCATATTTCCTAAGAAAGGTATCTAATTAATTTATAGGTACCTTTCTTATGAAATTTTATCAGAAGTGTACATAAAATACTATAATTTTATGTACATTTATTACATTTTACTGTTATTTGTATTTGCATTCATTTTATTATTAATTTTGATATTTCATTTATGGAAAAATGTCATAACTGAGATTAATATAAAAATAAGATCATATAAATTTCATAAGATGATACTGATACTTGTAGGTACCCTTCTCAGTTGAAATTGAAAAATCAAATTAACTTCTCCACACGTGTTTCGCAAAAAGTAAAGGCCTAAACAGCGGAGAACAATGCTTAACTCAAATAACGCAACTTAATTATATTCTGGTTGGTCTTCCGTATTTTATAATTACAGCCCGATTATAAACACAAAATTACATTTCTTAATTACTGCGGATCTTCTGATTAGTCAAAATGATACAATTTACAAAAAAAAAAAAAAAAGATCTATCTCATAAGGACACTTAGGAAAGCCGATGCAGCTTTTAACTAATTTTATAATATTTTAACAACTTAAATGTAAAATCTATTATAATTAAAGAAATAACAAATAATTGTATTAAAAATTCATTTTTCATCGAAAAAAATTTTTTTCTTTCAGAAAATATTGTCCATATTCATAAAAACAACTAAAAGCAAATAAAAGCATTTGAAATTAAATAATATCTTTGTTTTATTGAGTTCTGTATGTTACAAGAGCTGATTTTCAGGTACTGCGGATCCAATTAAAAACAAAAACATGATTTGCATTCCTCAAAGCCCTGTGCTTTTAATTATTGTAATCACTAAACCAGATGCGATCGAATTTTTAGCGTTTTCATAAAATTAGTTATTGGAGGGGGTAATAAATATTTTAAAAAATTATTTCTACCATAACTTTAATAAAAAAAAACATTTATAATAATTTCGATCATCTGTGAATTATTCCTGAAAGTTTCATTAACATCCGACAATTATTTCTATTTTTGCACGATTTTTCAAATTGTGTCATACCAAAAAAACGTGCTAAAAATTGTCTGTTATTTACTAGTTCCGCTGATACAAATAAAAAAATGTTTTTTTTAATGAAAATTTAGATCCTTCTAAAAAGAAGGAAAAAATTTTAAAAACAATTAAAAAAAACTTTGGTCTTTCCTCTTAATAACATAAGCATTATAGACAATAAAATTTTGTTTTCGGCAAGGTTGGCGTCTTTTTCATCAAGCTATGCTTTTTTTTAGCGATTTCGTGGAGGTACCTAACTTAAATGTAAAATTCTATTATAATTAAGAAATAACAAATAATTTTATTAAAAATTCATTTTTCACCGAAAATTTTTTTTGCTTTCAGAAAATATTGTCCATATTCATAGAAACAACTAAAAGCAAATAAAAGCCTTTGAAATTAAATATCTTTGTTTTATTGAGTTTGTATGTTACAATTCAGGGCTGATTTTCAGGTAGTGGGGGGGGGGAATTAAAAACAAAAAAGACATGATTTGCTTTCCTCAAAGTCTTGTGCTTTTAACTATTGTAATCACTAAAGTGGACTCGATCGAAACTCTAGAATTTTCATAAAATTAGTTGGGGGTGGGTAATAAATATAAAAAATATTTCTGCCATGACTTTAATAAAAAAAAATATAATTTCCATCATCTGTGAATAGTTCCTGAAAGTTTCATTAACATCCAACAATTATTTCTATTTTTGCAAGATTTTCCAAATTAATGTGTGTCATACCAAAAAAAAACGTGCTAAAAATTGTCTGTTATTTACTAGTTCCGCTGATACAAAGAGAAATAAGTTTTTTTTTTTTTTAATCAAAATTTAGAATGTTCTAAAAAGGAAAAATTTTTAAAAATAATTTTAAAAAAACTTTGGTCTTTCCTCTTAATAACAAAAGTATTTAGACGATAAAATTTTGTTTTCGGCAAGGTTGGCGTCTTTTTTACGTGGCGGTACCTACATTAACGTATTTCATAATTACTTTGAGAAATATTTATTTTTCTTTTCTATTGAATATGGGAGAAAATTTCTGAAGCCTAACATTTTAAATCCAATTCTAGCTCTTTTTTTTTCCGTACCATAATAATCATAAAAAGCGTTTATCTTTTAACTCTTCTACAAGATTTCTAACGTATTTTAGCGTCACTGTCGTTTTTGCCAAAAACAACTCTACGAATCCAAATAAAAAAAAGCAATGCTGAGAATGGCTACTTTGCATTTGCTATTGTCTTAAATAAAACTGCTTAGGACACAAATCTACATCACAGACAGTATGCATAGTAACGCAAGACGTACATGTGTGTCTTAAAATAGTGAACGTGTTTAATTTTGCTGGTCTTTGCTTAGAATTTCGTATTTCTGTCACTGATTACTTCTTCAGTAACTTTTTAGCACGCACTCACTAAAAGAAAAAATGCGTCATCTGACAAACAGGTGCTTTGTAATGAATATTTGTCATTGGGTAAATCTCTACAGCTAAGCCAGTGATTAGAGTGTGTACTTTGATGACCTTACATCATTGATTGATCTGTTGAGGGATCAAACCTTCCGCTCAATCGACTGCTTGTTTAATCGAATGCCAAATCAATTGATTAGACGTGGCAGAGAACTGTTCTCTATCGTGTTTTAACATGTTAATCAAACTGTTATGGCTCACTGGTTACCGTTCGTAGACAAATATCAAAGGAGACGGCACACACACACGTATGTGTGTGTGTATATATATATATATATATATATATATATATATAATGCCGAGAAAGACTGGTCGTTGGCGAGCAAGGGATTAGTAATAAAGGTGAAAAATTTGAGATCTTGATTGAACCAAATCAACACTGGCACAAGGCTATATCCTTGTAGTGCTTGGCAAGAGACTGCATGAATTTAGTCCACAATACCTACGGGACGAGCAAACTAACATCTACACACATATTATGCAATTTATTTTTTTTTTTTTTACATAACCGGAAGTGCTGAAACGCTTGAAAAAGCTCATCTGTTCACTTGAATGACGTCATCTACACAACGTTGCATAATGTCAATTAGACCCCAGTGTAGTTGCATGGGTATATCTATCCAGGATTGTTCCAGGGTAATACATAATTGAATTTTTCTTGGATGGTGTTGCAATGAATTTAGTGTAGTACACGTGTCTTATAACTACTCATTGGGATTGTTTGTTATCTAAAACTTCATAGATTTTGAATCATGAGCGTAAATTGCATATCAGACTAACTTCTACTTTTGAAAAGTTGGGGATATTTGAACAATACGCCAAATTTATTTTACCGCTATCCATTATAAATAATGCCCTTACACTTTGTTTTCAGTCTTCAAGAAAGTCAATAAGATATTTTGGGTAAATAATGATCAAATGTTTCGAATCTTTAGTTAGATCCGTTTATACATTAGTTTTGACTAGCTTTTTTTTCTTTTTTTTTTCTCCACTTTTCCGTGGTTTTCTCATGTTTATAGTTGATTAACAAATCAGCGAAAAACCAAGAACGACATGGCGATTGGTGAAGTGGTGAACAAGGGGTGAGGCACGAGCGGTATCTTGGGGCAGGGCCGAGTGGAGACGTTCAGTCGAAGCATATGTGGCACGAGACACCAGGCCGAGAGAGAGGAACTGAATGGTAGAGAGAAAAAAAGAGAGGAACTGAATGGTAGAGAGAAAAAAAGAGAGGAACTGAATGGTAGAGAGAAAAAAAGAGAGGAACTGAATGGTAGAGAGAAAAAAAAGAGAGGAACTGAATGGTAGAGAGAAAAAAAGAGAGGTAGGAAAAAAATGTGTGAGCGAGAACTTCTGTTGTCATTGATGCGTGCATTCTTTCCTGCTCACTGCAAATCGTTTTTATTCATTTTCTACACAACAGATTCAGTACCAAAACTTACTTCATCTCCCCACGCTTTATATTGCCCAAAATATTTGGGGCATCTCGAGGCGATGTAATGGTTAGCAAGCTTGTCTTGCTAGAACAATTACCACTGAGTAGTGGGTTCGATCCCTACTGGGTGCTCCCTACTTTCGGCTTTGTGTCAAATCTAAGCTACGTTTGGAAAATCACTACTGCCAAGAATATTTACTTTGTTTGAGCAAAAAAAAATCAAACCCTGTAATGTATGGGATAAATTCCGTGACACAACAAAGAGCTGAACCCTTATCTATTCTCCTCAAGGCTCGCTCGTTATCTTTTCTCCTTATCTTCATTTCCTGCTACCTCCTCTTTTTATTCATATTTCAAAACTCATTAACCATAACCATTTTAACAGTCACCCTCTATTTTATATTGGGTGAACATTAGTATAAAAAAATATTTGTTCGTTTCAAATTTTGTATCCAGTCTACTAACATACAAAATGGTAATGCTTTATTTTCCTACAGCAAAATTTGTTATGTTGTCATTATTGTGGGCTTTATTTAACTTCCATGAGAGCAAATATGACTATTTAATGGAGATCTCTTACCCACATAACTCAGTCCAACCGACTTTGGCCACTGACTTCACAGAACACTTACTGATCCTAATACGTTAATACAATTCGCTGGGAATGCGCTAGGACCGAGCATGCATCAATTTGTACTGTCATGCTTTTAAATTATAAGAATAAGTTTTTTATATATATATATATATATATATATATATATATATATATATATATATATATATATATATATATATTATACATACACTGTGTGTATGCCTCTTATTTTTATCCCCACCCCACAAATGTCTTACTATTAGTGTTATACATTACCATAAATGGTAATGCTATGCCTGAAAAGGTAGAAACAACAATCTCACTTCCATATATATTCTACCCGCACCGTTGGTTTGTATTCTCTATTCTTCAATACCACCTGAATGTTGTGTCCCAACACATGCAACTGTCATTAACGGAATAATTTGCGGTAGGTACTTCTTATTTTGTGCGCTGAATTTTTATTTTTTTGATATTAAACACTTTACAGATTTGTCGGTTGTCATCGTTGACAGACATTTTGTGTGTGCAAACTTAGTAAAATATGATTTTGCCGAACTTTCCAGCTCACTTTCACAATACTAAGGAATTTTTTTATTATCCTTGTAACCAATTGTTATATATTAAAGCTAACGTGTGCATTTCTAAGAACTGACTCGAATTCCTTCCTAACCTTTTGTTCGAAGTAGTGGTGGTTTTTCTAAGCTATGCCTGGATGTGACACGCGGCCTAAATTATAGTGGCACTGATTGAGGATCGAACTCTCTATTCAGTCGTAATTGATCTATCGAGACAAGTTCGGTAACCATTACATCATGTCGAGGTGCCTAATTTTTTTTCCAAGTAGTGATTACGGCATTATTCATTCTTTCAGTTACATGTGCTAGCCATTTTAGTTTTTGTTGTTTGAAAGATCTCAACTGATGTGGTTTCTGTCATTTGACACATATCTTTGCTTGTGATTCTGTAGTGCCAGTCCACGTGGTTCAAAATAGGATAGTCCCCTCTAAGACCTACAGTCTTCATTTTCTCTAAGCCATTATTAATCATTTATATGAGAAAGTGATTGTATAGAGTTTAGACATTTTTGAACGGGTTTGGCGCCATGCATACATAACCATATGCATGTCTCGGTCTAACGGGGCTATTTAAGGACATGACTTGAGTTTTCGGTAAAGGCTTTGGTTTTGAGGCATCTGGCGGTGTTGTTGAAAACTACCTTAGTACAGCCTATTCGATGTTCAATTTCCTTATCTCGTCAATTATTTTTTATAGTTGATCCGTACACTGAAGTATTTGAAGGTTTCGCATTAATTGATTCCACATCCTGCATATTTGATGCATTCAGAGTAAGTACCATCACCGCATTCATTCTAATTCCAGATTCAAATTTCTGTTTTGGAAAAGTTTATCTTTAATCTTATTTCTTAAAACACTTGGTAGAGAATTTCTTTTGGTTCAAGATCATTCTTTGGGTATTTGTCATCAGCATATTCCTCACCCGTATTACTACACTGGTAACTGGAGTCAAAAAAAAATATGTTGCTTGCATTAGCTGAGAATGGAGATTGTGGCTATTACTCATTGGCTTGAAACGCATCCAGTCTCTTGCTGCTTGCGGAAGTGTAGGGGGGGGGGAATTCTTCAAAAAAAGTTTTACCTCACCACGTAGATCAAACGTTAGATTAGTTAAGTGATCATTTCCTTTTAACTATGACACAACGAGAACGGAAATTGTCAAACATCACAATCCACAAAAGCTATAAGGACACCGTTATGATGCTGTCATCTCAGAACCTACCATCATGAACTAGCTAAGCAACAGAATTAAGCAAATAGCTTATGTACAATCGATAATGAATTCGCAAAGAAGGCACTAGATAGTGTGTGAAGGTAGCTTCATCCAGAGGTGGCAATATACACATCACTGGAGCAAAGAGATTTGGTCTACTGGGAGAGGCAAAGATCTGTTACAAAAGACAAATTCTGCAGATGGTTGTGAATACTTGAAGCATTTCGGGCAGAATGACGAATTTATTGTCTGCGGCAATGCGCCTGTTCATGTAGATTTGAAAAAAATGCTCATGGAAAACAATTTATCGGCGCCAGTATTATCCTTCAGTAACCTATACAGTGCTCTGTAAATAAAATTAAGGAATGCTGGAACGTCTTGAAGTCTCTTATGAAATGCTTGGTGTCCAAATCATGTAAAACCATCAATTAACATGAATTATTTGTTCCCTCATGAAACAATCGATGAAGCGATGTCTGCAATTAGCCCATTACTGTGTATGAAAACGTACAATCCTGTAGAGAAAAAACTTTGACCCAACCTTGACACAAGATAACCAAATGTTTGTGTCGGTGGTGGCAATGTGTGAACTGGTTAATTTCGAATTAAGCATCTTTGATTATATTGTTCATTGTTTTGGCTTGTAAACTGATGTATTTTTCGCAGTAAAGTTTTACTTAGAGCTTGAACCTTGTGTCAATTAGCGCATGTATGGGTATCGTCAAAAGTCCAACACGATACGAAGTACACCTATTTCAATAAAAGTAATAAAAATAGGGAGAACATCATCTCAACTTTCCTCCCCTACCAGGATCATCATCATTGATAATAACGCTGATTTTTTTTTTTTTATAAGATAAATGACAAAAGTTATAAAAACGTAACAATCCGTCCATATTTCCGAGATGAATCATTGTAACTATTTACACTATTTGCATTGTTCAGACAATTGTCCTCATCTTTGTCATATTCACGACGTTTCGGCCGTTGTACGCTCCGGCCTTCAAGTGATATATGTTGCGATTTAGAACTGAACTTTTTTCGTCCACCAAAAGATAACTGAAACTGAAACATACAGAAAAGACGTGCAACTAGAACAATCTACACCGGGGTAAAGGGTTTGGTTCGAATTTCCATCGTATATCACCTGAAGAAGGCCGGAGCGTACAACAAATGTATATGACAAAGATGAGACAACAGTCGGAACGGTGCAAATAGAAATGCAACGGAAATGTTCTTCGTTTAAGCAGAATAAGCAATAGAAAACACCAGCAGAATCCAATTGGGCCGAAAACTTTTCAGCACTCCTTAAGATAAATTGATTAAAGAAAGAAAAGTTGTGAGACGAGAGTAAAAATAGAGTAAAACGAAATCGTGCGTGAAAAAAAAATCACAAGTCTGTGGACAGTTTGTCATTAAAAATGAATCTTTTTTTTTTTGTTGTTTTCTTCCATCAAGCCCATTGATTCCAGGTGTTCAGGGCTAGACAAAAATAGCAGGACAGGTTTTGTGCAAAGAGAGACAAATCGGAACTTCCGGGATTTAACGATTTCCGGTTGTCCACAACGCAAACGACCATCAAATGGAAAACAAAGGGAAAAGCTTTTTTTTTCTTTTTTTTTTAATTCATTTTTTTTCTTTTCCACTTTTTTCTTCCTTCTCTTTTTTTCCACATCGATTTCCTGTTTCCCCCTTTATCCTTTCTTTTTGTAAAGTTCTCCTGTCGTCATTTTGTTCCTCATTTTCGTACTTTTTATTTAATTATATATATATATATATATATATATATATATATATATATATATATGCACAGTGCAATGGGTAAATTGTCAACATTTTATATTTTTAATTTCGCATATGCGCATTGTTTTTAGTTTTGTCGGCTGCACAGTATAGTGGGGTTAATTGGGCACAGTCTGTGAGAAAAAAAAGCACCATAATGCAATTCACTCCTCCAGAAACTTGAAAACGGCATTGTGTACTGTTTGGCATTCGCACCGGAAGCTCCAATATGAACATTTCAGAGTGTTTGGGTGTTAATTTGAGGTCATTGCAGAGGATTCTGAAAGAGTTGAATAAGTCAATTCATCTTCCCATAGAGCATCACTCAACACGGAGACCTAGATCCATTGCCTTGAGGAGGTGGTGACTTTGGTCAAGAGTGTGGCTGCTGGAAGACCCTATGTCTGGCAACAGAACTCTGCACTATGCCACACGAGCAGAACCCTGTCATGGCTGTCAGACATTTCTGCAACCACATCACTCCTTATATCTGGTCACTTAACTCCGCAGATCGCAACCTCGTTGATTATGTGTGGGGGCGCAGTTGAGCGAAAGACCAACAAAACGCATACCAAATACCAAAGATGAAGACTAGGATTATGACAGCATTCACCAACTTAAACATGGAGACCGTCCATATGAGTTGCAGGAGATTCTGGAATCGTCTTGGGGCCGTGGTTGAAGCCAATGGCGATTTTATTGAATAAATTGACTATTTAGTATTTGAAGATATTTTGGTATCATTTTGGTAAATATATATGTTAAAATGAGATGACGGTCTTCTTTTCATTTTTACATCATTTAGACGGCAATTTAACCATCGCACCCCGTGTTTTGTGCCCCCCACCCAACTCAGCCAACGTTCCGACAAGGAAACCTAAGTTCAAATCTTACTACTGTTGAATTTTAAACATTTTTTTCTTGCCATGGGGTTATCTAAAACATATGACGGGAAAATGTATAAACGAAACTGATCAGAAGCTGTCAATGATGTTTAGCACGGAGTCACAAGTCATCGTGATCGAGTGTTCGTGCCTATTGATCTTTTTCAACTAATGATCATATATTACGTTCTCTCACTCACTAACACACACAGTATAAACCACAAGTTGACTCCGGAGGTGTCGAAGAAATACTGATGTAACGAAGCAGGTGTTTATTCCACGGATTAGCTAGCTACCCTGACAGACAAGCATATGCGGAAACTAGTAACAAGCCATTCCACACACACACACACAAAGTACGAAATGTATGTATGTATGTATGAATGAAATGTATGTATGAATGTATGAAATGAAATGTATGTATGAATGAAATGTATGTATGTATGTATGAATGAAATGTATGTATGTATGTATGAATGAAATGTATGTATGTATGTATGAATGAAATGTATGTATGTATGTATGTATGAATGAAATGTATGTATGTATGTATGTATGAATGAAATGTATGTATGTATGTATGTATGAATGAAATGTATGTATGTATGTATGAATGAAATGTATGTATGTATGTATGAATGAAATGTATGTATGTATGTATGAAATATGTATGTAAAATGAAATGTATGTATGTATGTATGAATGAAATGTATGTATGTATGTATATGAATGAAATGTATGTATGTATGTATGTATGAAATGAAATGTATGTATGAATGAAATGTATGTATGTATGTATGTATGAAATGTAAAATGTATGAATGAAATGTATGTATGAATGAAATGTATGAATGAAATGTATGAATGTATGTATGTATGTATGAATGAAATGTATGTATGTATGTATGTATGAATGAAATGTATGTATGTATGTATGTATGAATGAAATGTATGTATGTATGTATGTATGAATGAAATGTATGTATGTATGTATGTATGAATGAAATGTATGTATGTATGTATGAATGAAATGTATGTATGAATGAAATGTATGTATGTATGTATGAATGAAATGTATGTATGTATGAAATGTATGTATGTATGTATGAAATGTATGATATGAAATGTATGTATGTATGTATGAAATGTATGTATGTATGTATGTATGAAATGATCATCTTACTGCTTTCCGCGACTGTTTCATGTGATCACTTAGGTGTTGATGCACTTGTCTCACAATCCTTGTGCGTATATATATATATATATATATATATATAACACGTGTAGTAAAATTATGGAAAATAAAGCATAATATTTTTTCTAAAAATAACGTTACAACCAAAAACGTTTGCGGCACCTCTCTTCTCTTCTTTTTAATATATATACTGCGTGCCAAATTATTATCGAGATAACTTTTCAATTCACACAAAATTTTCACAATATTTTCACACAATGTTGGCAACACTGACCTGCGCAATGTAAACAAATTGGTGCCATTTTTGTTATCAGCACGGTGATTTGAGCGTGCCAAATTATTAGAAAAGTGTAAGAATTTAGTGAAAAGATGGGTCGTAAAAGCAGTTTAAGTGATGCTGAAAAGAAAAGTATCATCTCAGAACTCTCAAAAGGTAAATCTACCCTAGAAATTTCTAAAATAATAGGGAGGTGTCATCAAACAATGAAATAGTTCACCGCCAACCCTACACAAGTGCGCAAAAGGGCAGATAAAGGCAAGCGGGGGGTTATTTCACGTCGTCTCACGTCACGAGTTAAACGAGAGGCCACAAAGAACCCTGGAGTTTTTCAGTCGCATTAGGGATCCTACTGTGTCTAAATTACTCGGTGTTGGTATCTGAGGGAAATAGCAACAACAGTCAAACCTTTATCGAAGTCTCCGTTGACGAGAAATCACATTCAAAATCGATTGAAATGGGCCGAGGACAATATGAAGATTGACTTCTCTAAAGTTTTGTTCACAGACGAAACTCTAGCAACACTTGATTGACCAGATAGATGGTGCAAAGGCTGGGTAATGAACGGACAGAATTGCCATCAACGTTTGAGACGCCAACAAGGCGGTGATTGAAAAAACATTAGTGGGCCCGTGGAGAGTACCAGATGGCGTCAAAATGACCGCTGATGCATACATAGCGTTTATGAAGGAGCATCTTGAACCGTTCTTCAGAAGGGCCATTGTTTTTTATGCAAGATAATGCTCCCTCACATGCTGCTCACAAGACTACTGAATATTTGAAATAGGCTTCGATGAACCTCGAAAAATGAAGTGGCCAGCAAATTCTCCGGATTTGAACTCGATCGAAAACCTTTGGACCATCATGAAGCGAAGACTGTACGCCAACGGACGACAATTCAGGAACGACGCTGAGTTGTGGGAAGCAATTCTTGACACATCTCGCGGCATTACAGCAGATGATATCGTACAATTAACAAATTCTATGCATCGTCGACTTCAAGTAATTTCAAAACAGAGAAAGCGCATTCCCTATTAATTTGTTTAAAACTGTGCCTTTGTTTGTATCTGTTATTACTTGTTTGACTATCTTATTAGCTTCTTTTGATCATAAACATTCACGTGCAACATTAATAAACGTTTTGTGTGCTCAATTCTGGGAATTTTACTAAACCTTTCTAATAATTTGGCACGCTCAAATCACCGTACTGATAACAAATATGGCGCCAGTTTGTTTACATTGCGCAGATCAGTACAAAAATTTCAGTGATTGCGCAGGTCAGTGTTGCCAACATTGTGTGAAAATTTTGTGTGAATTGATTAGACTGTTTTTGAAATATTAGAAACAAGTTATCTTGATAATAATTTGGCACGCAGTATAGTGAACAGCATGCTAAATTTCGGTTCAATTGGCCATGAAAAATACTTTTCTCTTATGCCTAGCGTTTATTTTCTACTTGGAAGGAAACTCGGAAATTTAGGTTTTACTCTCCTACTCACAGGAGGTTGCGGCAACATCCGTACTTTATATTGTGGGTTTTTCGGGTGAGCTTTATAGTGTTTTTTGTTTTTTTTTTTTCCTTCCTAATATCTTTCTATAAAAGAAATCGCCGCTTCTTGTCCCCCCACCGCGGGGTAAGTGATATTCCATTTCTCAAACATTCAGACCACCCATTCAAATGAAAAATATCATTTAAACAACATAGTCTCGTGTAAAGGTCTGCGCTTTTCTCTCTCAGACCCCTCTCTCTCTCTCTGCTCTCTCTCTCTCTCTCTCTGCCCCTGTTCTCTCTTTTCTGCCCTCTCTCTCTCTCTCTCTCTGCCCTCTCTCTCTCTCTCTCTCTCTCTCTCTCTCTGCCCTCTCTCTCTCTCTCTCTGCCCTCTCTCTCTCTCTGCCCTCTCTCTCTCTCTGCCCTCTCTCTCCACAAGTAAGAAATTTTCTCTCTCTGCCCTCTCTCAATTTTCTCTCTCTCTCTCTAATCTCTCTCTCTCTGCCCTCTCTCTCTTTGTCTCTCTCTCTTCACACCTGAATACAGAGACATTGACCTATGACGAAAGTATGAATAAAATGATGCATGCCATATAACCCTTTTAGTTCTCTGGTCCCTAGATAGCATTCTGGATCCTCTTCCTCCTCATTGACGACCAGCCACTTTTTTTTTTTACTTTAGTTAATGCAAATAAATAATTATTTCTTTCTGAAGGCACAAACACTATTTCATATATAATGAAAATTCGGATATCAAACTCTCAAGTATTCCTAATCTCCACTTCAGTATCATTTCTCCAGCACCTTTTGTCCATATTCTCCTCTGCAGTAGAGTTCACCCAACTTGGTTCCGTGGCTGAATCAGTCCTTATTTCTACCTCTCTTAACCCCCTTTTTTTCCTAAGCCATACTGCATCTTCCGCCACCAAATCTCCGATCTCTACAACTACGCCTGTCGCAATACTACTAGCATCATACCACACTATTCCCGTTTTCGTTTTAGGGATGTCAAGTCTTGGTCGCCTTTCTTTACCTCAGGTAAGATATCCTGCATCACAGCAACAGTTTCATAATCGATTTTACATTTCCACTTGCTTTTTTCGCGTAGCTGCATGCCGTTCGCTGCAATAGACCGAGAACAATTCCCACCTACTCGTCTCTCTTGTCGCCTGTGGGACCTCGTTGTCCCTTCCAAACACCTACTTTTCACTTTTCCTTTCTTCAGAAGACCCAGCACTGCCCTTCCTAAGGTTTCTGGTGGCTTTGCTGTTGATCTGAATTTATTATGATGATCCATCAATTTCTTCGTCGATACCTTTGTTACATCTATCATGATGTCATCAATGTGCGAATCAATGGCTTATTTTGTCTTATTGCCCTTCATCGGCAATTTTCGATGCCGCATTGAGTCGGAACCCCAACCGAGTCAGGCAGTAAGTTTTACGCTTATAGCACACCAATCTGGTACTGCCATGGTTTCTCCGCGACCTATAACTGCAGGTCGGTCGGCTTAAGATCCACAGTCGTAGTTCGTCCCGCCAACTGCCTCCACTTTCTCATCTTTTCATCGCACACATTGATTATGTCACTCCCAGTATGGCACTCTACATAACGGTTCAACTCCCAAAAATCTAATACTGGCCTGAATTTTCCTTTTGTAGCTTGGATCACCGCCATCAACGGCAACACTCCTTTTACTTCGCCCTTCTAGGGCAAGAGAATGCCCTCCATAATCCATCTTTCCACGGTTCATTTCTTTCCATCGAACTCTGTCGGCAGAGTGTACATCTCGAAACTTCACGTCGCCATTTTTACAGTCACACCTCCCAGACGAATTGATCTCGTCTATTCCGACAACAATGTCGATCCCGTCGATGATGCAATCAACGTTAATTGCCTCCGTTTTTCACCCTCGTTTCGCCTAATTTTATCTCCACCTGTCGGGTTCCTTTACATTTGACCACCCTCCTGTCAAATACTTGCACAGTGCCACTCCAACTCCATTCGCTCACGAGCTTGGGATCAAGTGGTTGTGCAGCCGGTATCGACAAGAGCTGCCGCTATCACACCGCCCCGCCCCGCCCCACCAACTTTTTGATATTATTGACGTAGACATCCATTAATTCCCCAGTCCATTTCACTCTCATAAGCTTCAAAGAGCCCTTCAGTGAATGCTTTCTTCAGTGAATGCTTTTAATGTGATATATATTTATATATATATATATATTTATTATATATATGCTTTCTTCAGTGAATCCATTTCTTCAGTGAATGCATATTCTTGAATGAATGCTTTCTTCAGTGAATGCTTTTTTCAGTGAATGTTTTTCTTCAGTGAATGCTTTCTTCATTAAATTTTTAAATATTTTTGAAGTTTTTGCTTTCTTTCAAGAAGTGAAATGCTTTCTTCAAGTTAATTTTTTTTCAGTGAATGCTTTCTAAAAAAGTTTTTTTCATTTTGAATGCTTTCTTCAGTGTGGCACCATTCTTCAGTGCAGAGAAAGAAATACTTTCTTCAGTGAATGCTTTCTTCAGTGAATGCTTTCTTCAGTGAATGCTTTCTTCAGTGAATGCTTTCTTCAGTGAATGCTTTCTTCAGTGAATGCTTTCTTCAGTGAATGCTTTCTTCAGTGAATGCTTTCTTCAGTGAATGCTTTCCTATCATGTCTTCGTCCAACTGGTCCTCGTCACTCATTTCAAGGGGGAGGGCAAGTGTATCTCTTTGCAGAAAAAGTGGAAGGAAACTAGTAAGGTCTGGCACTTCGCCAAAGAAAGTGACAAATTGAAAACTTTAATTTTGATTATATCTTCTCCGATGGTGGTATCACATCTCTAGCCAGTCTCGCCATTCCAGATTTCATATCATCGAAATAGCTTGTGGTTCAAAAAAATATTTAAAAAAAAAACTTCTAGGATTTCTATTGTGCATCTTTTAAATCTTTCATTCCACCTACATATTAAGATTAGTTTTTGTATATACCTTTTGTTTTCTTAAGCATTTATTGACCTGAAAATTTTTCTTTTTAATTTTTCTTTTGAGGTTTTGTCGGAAAAACCTTTTTTTTTCTTTTCTTTTTTGAAACCAAGGATTTTTTATGTATAGTCAGCACTTTGCCTAATCTGATTCAAAATCACCCAGTTTGGATCGAATTCAAGAAAAGTGTGGTAGAAGAGAACTAACTTTTTTGCTTGCTCACTTTTATTCGAAACAACGAAGTGTATTGTTCACGAAATGACTAAGTGAGGTTTGAACTCTCTACACTGGAGAAGCGGTATGTGAATGGGTCTTGCACACCATTGCAACAAGGATTATATGAGATACATAAAACGAGAAGATTGATCTATATCCTTAGAAACCCATAAAGTTTGTAACTCTTGACCTACACGTCCTATTCATTCGTTTCCGTGGTTGGATTTGTGGAGGTCAGAAACTTTAAGAATTGTTTAAGTAGATTTTTATACTGACCGGTTTGAGTCTTTTGGATAAATGGCAAAAATCGGTGTTTTTCTTCAGTTTTCGAAACAACCCAAAAGTTATTCCAAAAGAAATTTCTATTAAATATCAGATTTAAAAAAATCTAATAATGTCTTTAAGGATTCTTGATCAAGAATCTTTCTGTGTATGTTGTATAAATAATTCCGTTGTGTAAATATGGAAGCACATTTTCTTTCCTAGTCAGTAACGGATATTAATCGTATAAACATTATACAGTGAAAACTTCAGATCAAAATGCAATTAATACCTGAAACATGCTACTAACTTATTGATCTACACACACACACACGCGCGATTTCAGTGTTTAAAAAAGGTATCCAAATCTAGTTCACATGCTAGTTCGAAGTCGAACATCATTCATATTTGTGAAATCCGCAATTTTTATGGATTTAAAAAATTAAATAGCATATACTTGCAAAACGACGTTCACTTATTTTAAGCTTAACAGTATTTTCATTTAATCTAATTTATCGCATAATTCGCACATATCTGATTGGGATTAAACTACATTACTCGTTCCGAAATATTTTCTGAAATTTTCTATCGAAAATGTCCCGGCTATGTTGTCTTTTTACAATCTTCATTAGGTCCCGTAAAAAAAGCAGCATATCACGATGAAAAAAAGGTCCATAAATTAATAACAAAGTTTTGTATAAATATGTTTGTTGTTATGAAGAGGAAAGACCAAAGTATTTTTTAAGTATTTTTTGAAATTTTTTAGAACGTCCAGTTTTCTTGCGACGGGGGACGAAAATTTTGGTTAATTTTTTTTTTTTTTTTTTACGACAGCGTGAAAAACTCAAAAAAAGGTTTGTTTTAATATTTTCAGGACTTTTTCAATGAAGGAAAACACAGAAAATCTTGTTTAAAAAGAGATTTTTTTTAAACATGTTTCCACCTACTTACATATTTTCATGAAATTTTGAGAAATTAAATCTTCAACCGCGGGACTTGTTTTATTAGTTATAAACAGGACTCTTTGCAGAAAGTAAACCACCAGTTTTTTGGGGTTTTTTTTTTCTTTTTGTTTTGGTTTTTTTTTGCTTTTTTTTTTTTTTTTTGGTTTTTTTTGCTTTTAATTTTTTTGCTTTGGTTTTTTTTTTTTGTTTTTTTTTTTTGTTTTGTTTTTTTAAGGACATTATTTTGTGAAGAAAGAAAATCTTTTGAATTATAAAAAAATGTAAAAAACTAACATTTTAGAAATTTTTAAACCTTTTTCCATTAAATACGTTATACTAAGGACAAAATTTTTGAAAAAATAAAAAATTTTCGATGAATAATGCAATTTTAACGTTAATTTTTTCCCCATTTTTAAAATTTTTTTCATTAACTTAATACTTCAATAATCGTTTAAAATTCAAAATTTGCTTTTAAAATAATTTAAAAAAATTTTTAATGAAAAAACGTTCATAAATTTTACGAATGAAAATTTCAAAATAATCCTTAAAAATTTTAAACAATTTTCTAATTAATAAAAAACTTTAAACTATTATCTAATTAAGAAAGTATGAAATAAAAAATAGATATTACATAATTGCTGAATAAAAATGTTAATATTTAAAAAGTACTAGTTAAAAACGAAAAACCGCGTTCGCTTACTTTGCAAAAATTGTCAATTTTGATCATCCATAGTAATGTCATCACCTCGTCACAATCGATTTCTTTGATAAATTCAGACACATCGTTAAGAAATGTTTGGATACAAATTTTTATGCTATAAGTAAGTACCGTTTGTTTTCATATTAGATTAATTTGACTTTAAATTTTCTAATTTTACTCAAATAACGTGTCAAAAATATATAAATTTATTTTAGGAAGAAATTTAAAATCAAAAATTTGTTTGTTTACAAATTTCTTAAAATTTAAGAAAATGGCCGCTTTTAAGAAAATTAAACAAAAATCGAGCATATATTTGACATTCCAATCTATATAATTTCTGTCTGAAAGACACTAGAATATGTTACTTACTGTAAGTAATAAATTTAATACTTTAGCTTTCAATTAATAACAACATATTGAGACAAACTTTGTTTTAATTGATTTATGAGCCTTTTTTAATCGTGATATGCTGCTTTTTTACGTGACCTAATGGAGGAACCTACTCTTCATATATTTACCGTCCTGGGTAAGACGATAAACTACGTCCAACAGCAAGGCCTCTGATCAGGAGGTGGAACCAATTGCTGGTGTTCCCAGGTCCAACCTGACCCGTGGTGGTAGCGTCTGTTAGGGTCCCAAACTGGGGTCAAAACATTATGAAAGTGTAAAAATAGGTTTTAATACCAGAAATGCTTTGTAAAAAATATTACCAGCAATACATTTTTTTAAGGAAAAATATTACCAGAAATAGATTTTTGACAAAACAAAATATTACCAGCAATAAAAATTGTCAGCATTAAATGACCCATTGAGGTGTTGATATGCCGTAAAACAAATCAAATCAATCAACTTCATATATTTAACTTTCCTTTTTATTAATTAGCGAATAATGAGTCTCCTGTACACTTTCAATGCGTCCACATAAACTCAATGAAGATATAGAAACAGTTTGTAAAAGTTCTTGCATCAAGGTCTATCACCGAAGTTGGGATTAAGGTTACTAAGTGCAGAGATTGGTGTGCTTAATATGGAAATACAGTGGTCAGCAATGAAGTGAAAGTGTAGTGATGTAGTTGATGGGAATAAAACGAAGAATACAGAGTTATAAATAACATTAGTTCTTCAATGCTATTATTGCAGAGACGAAGTGGTAATGATTTAGCAATATTTTGATGTCTATTCACTTGTTGTTTAAATCGGAACGAATAATACGAGTTCAGTCTTGGACCAGTAAGTCGTGTATGGAAGTTGTGAGTTGATGAAAATGGGAATTGAAGCAATAATGAGAACGAACAATTGGTCACAGTGACGATTGGCTGAAAGACATCACAATCATTGTTAAACGATTCAACTCGCAGTTTAAGTTTGGTGTCGTTGTCTTTACTATGAAGTATAACCCGGAGAAAGCTCTGAGCAGTGAAAGCTGATTGGTCAGAAAACGTTTTCTATGAGCGACAATCTCATTGGCTAGAGCCATGGTGCAATAAAATCCATTTAAAATAATAATTTTGGGCTGTTGACTCTTGGTCCACAAACGACGTGGTGAAGTGTTCAAATTCAGATTTTAAAAAAATAATAAAATCTTCTGAGCTAGTTAGAAATTTGAATTTTAATAAGATTAACGCTCGAAAATTTTACAACACTTAATGAGGTATTCAAAATTTTATTCCCCAAACATAAAAAGAAAGAAAACACCTGTTGGTGGTATCAATGAAAGCCTGCTTGTAGATTATCAATTTTGTAATAATTATATATAACTGCGCTTAGGCCTACATCCGAAAGGGTAAAAAAAAAAACTAGTTCGTGCGCAAGGGTTTACACACGTCATTTCCGTTTTAAAATATACAAAAGTATAACTCCTTTTTTAATAATTTTTATTAATCTCGATCCTTCTTTAGCAAAAAAATCAAAAAAATCGACGTGTTTCTGATCCGGCGGAAATATATAAATTAAGCCGAAATCGGCTTTTTTTTTTTTTTTTTTTTTTTTTTTTTTTTTTTTTCTTTTTTTTTTTTTCTTTTTCTTTTCTTCTTTCTCTCTTTTTTCTTTTTCTCTTCTCTTTTTTCTCTTTTTCTTTCTTTTTTCTTCTCTTTTTTTTTTTTCTCTTTTTTCTCTTTTCTTTTTTTCTTTTCTCTTTTTCTCTTTCTTTTTTTCTTCTTTTTCTCTTCTCTTTTTCTCTTCTCTTTTCTCTTCTCTTTTTTCTTTCTCTTTTTTTCTTCTCTTTTTTTTTCTTCTCTTTTTTTCTCTCTTTTCTCTTCTCTTTTTTCTTCTTTTTTTTTCTTTTTTCTTCTCTTTTTCTAAAATTTTTCTCTTCTTTTTTCTCTTCTCTTTTTCTTCTTTTTTTCTTCTCTTTTTCTCTTCTTTTTCTCTTCTCTTTTTTTTTCTCTTTTCTTCTCTTTTTTTTTCTCTTTTTTTTTTCTCTTTCTCTTCTCTTTTTTCTTCTCTTTTTTCTCTTCTTTTTCTCTTCTTTTTTCTCTTCTCTTTTTCTCTTCTCTTTTTTCTTCTTTTTTTCTTCTCTTTTTCTTTCTTCTCTTTTTCTCTTCTCTTTTTCTTTTCTCTTTTTCTCTTTTTTTTTCTCTTCTTTTTCTCTCTTTTTTTCTTCTCTTTTTTTTTTTTTTCTTTCTCTTTTTTTTTCTTTTCTTCTCTTTTTTCTCTTCTTTTTTTTTTCTCTTTTTTTCTCTTCTTTTTTTTTTTTCTCTTTTTTCTTCTTTTTTCTCTTTTTTTCTCTTCTCTTTTTTCTCTTTTTTTTCTTTCTTTTTTCTCTTCTCTTTTTTTCTCTTCTCTTTTTCTCTTCTCTTTTTTTTTTCTCTTTCTTTTTTCTCTTCTCTTTTTTTCTCTTCTCTTTTTTCTCTTCTTTTTTTTTTTTTTTTTTCTCTTCTCTTTTTTCTCTTTTTTTTCTCCTTTTTTTTTTTTTTTTTTCTTCTTTTTTTTTTCTCTTTTCTCTTTCTTTTTTTTTTTCTCTTTTTCTCTTCTCTTTTTTCTCTTTTTCTCTTTTTTTCTCTTCTCTTTTTCTCTTCTTTTTTTTCTCTTCTCTTTTTCTCTTTCTTTTTTCTCTTCTCTTTTTCTCTTCTCTTTTTTTCTTTTTCTCTTTTTCTTTTCTTTTTCTCTTCTCTTTTTCTCTTCTCTTTTTTCTCTTCTCTTTTTTCTCTTCTCTTTTTTCTCTTTTCTTTTAAATCTGTCAGTTTATTTCATGTCTTACGAATATATATATATATATATATCCCTGTCAATGCTCTCTTTGTCACATACATACTCACAAGTATTCGCATCGTAAAGAACTTTATACGCGTATTAACACAAATTGATTTCATTACTGATTGACGCACATATAAGAAGAATTTTAACAATAATTAACGTACATAAGGAATTTTTACAATTCCTCATAGAGCATCTAAATACAATTTTCTAAGATGCCGGGAGTTTTTATTGAAATATTAAACTTTGTTCATTTGATAACTCCACGTCATTTTTATACCACGTTAAAGTTTTGGGTTTTCTCCTTCCTTTTTAACCCCTTGCCTGCCAATGATTTGGGAAAAAAAACGTGTCATTTTGAGACGAATTTTTTATTTGTTTTAATATAGTAACTAAGAAACTGAGGTACCTTGAAGTATCCGAGCGGTTTCTAACACCTCTATCAGACGTTTGAGTTGACAATTGAACTCTTTTCAAGCTCAGAAGAGCATAAACAGAATCAAGATCGATGTATATACATGTCTATTCTGGGGAAATGGTAAAATAAACTCTGAACCCTTTACTGATTTTATAAACAAGTGTGTCTAATTAAAAAATATATATTTTCATATTTTATAACAATTTTCTTCAGATGACCAGTACGCATCCAGATGTTGTAGCCATCCAAATTTTCTTCGTATTACAAATGATTTCAATCCCAGTAGATATATTTACTGGATAAGATATGTATTTGCGTGTGTGAAAAAGAAGTGTAACCTTGGATTTTAGATACTTCAAACTCGTGTCAAGAGGGGGGGGGAAGCACCATTTCCTCTGATTTTAATTTCCTTTCTCTCTCCTTTTATGCATTGACTGAGCTTCATATTTTTCCAGCTTGTCGGCTGCTCTGGCCGCTGAATGAAATCGGCAAGTAGAATGGCGTAAGTGTGTTTACGGTTGAGCACGAATCTGAGCCCTTAATCAATAGAAAAAAAATAAAGTTTTTATTTGTATGGGCTTTCATTTACAAACCTCTGTGCTGCGTGTTAGTAGCTCGTTTGGGCCGACTGTTCTACACTCGACTCAACCATTTATTTTGAGGCATCTGCGCATTGATTGTTGTGGCTGGCTTCGGCCCATTTCCGGCGAACCGCTTCTGTCGCTTATTATAGTTTTATTACGCAATCTAAATGAGTCCACGACATGAAAATCTACCCGCTGGATATGAATAGAGCAATTTCTAACCCGACTCTACTGGGGCTTAACTCGCCTTATTACGACATTCATCTGGTCTTTACGGGGTTTTATTCTCTCGCTTATCGAGCATTTATTAATCAAACTGTGTTTTTCTCTCTCTTTTTTCTGTCTCTGTCTCTCTCTTTTTTCTGTCTCTCTCTTTTTTTCTGTCTCTGTCTCTTTTTTTCTGTCTCTCTCTTTTTTTCTGTCTCTCTCTTTTTTTCTGTCTCTCTTTTTTTTTCTCTCTTTTTTTTTTTCTGTCTCTTTTTTTCTGTCTTTTTTTTTTTTCTTTTTTTTTTTTTTCTTTCTTTTTTTTTCTGTCTCTGTCTTTTTTTTTTCTGTCTCTTTTTTTTTCTGTCTCTTTTTTTTTCTGTCTCTGTCTCTTTTTTTTTCTGTCTCTGTCTCTTTTTTTTTCTGTCTCTGTCTCTTTTTTTTTCTGTCTCTGTCTCTCTTTTTTTCTGTCTCTCTCTTTTTTTCTGTCTCTCTCTCTCTCTCTCTTTGTTTCAGAAAAGAGAAAGCAGAAAATTTTAATTCCTTTAGTTTCTATAAAATTAATTTCTTAATAATTTCTCTCCCTCCCAGCGTTTTTATGTATATTAAATTGAGTCATAAGTAATTTCCGTTTTTGTCAACCAATTGTAATGATTAATGTGGAAGTTCAGAATAAAATTGGATGACACTAATCTACATTGTCTTTTACACGACAGTGGCAGCGTACACAGTGGATTAAAGGAAGCCGTTTTTTGTAGCCAAGTTTTTTTCTTTCTTTTCCATTTTATTTTTGACAGAAAATCTGTCTTTCTTGGGTGACTGTCAAGCACAGGATGTCACTAAACCTTCAAAAATTATTCAATTTTCAACTATTCTGAATCCAGTAATTGTCAATTTCTTCAAAATTTCAATTTTTTTTTTTTTTTTTTTTTTTTTTTTCAATCAATCACTCAAACTTTCTAGTTCACAACCGACAATTCCTTTTCTGTTAATCTGTCAAACCGAATTGAGCCAGTGTAATACTTGCAATATGAGCTCTGGTTAAAAAAAAAAAAAGGTTACTGAGACATGAAGTTTATAAGTCCCAAAAATGTCCTCAAGGATACATGGGCCAGTGAAAAAGTTATTGGTTAAATCCAGTGACTTGACCCAAAAAGTTGTGAGTTTAATATCTGTCTACAACAGAGGTGAAGAGTTGAGTTAAAAAAAAAGGGAGTTAACTGATGCTGGCATAACCGGTAGGGACATGGCACGGGGTACTAAAAGAATTTAAAGGGTTCGGTTCGAAATTCCAATCACCTGAAGAAGGCCGGAACGCACAACGGTCGAAACGTTATGAATATGGCAATAAAAATGAGGACAACAGTCAGAACAATGTAAATAATTACAATACCTCAGCTCAGAAATGTAGAAAAATAAGGAATTTACGAATTTATGCGCTTGAAGTTGTCAGTGGATCGTTTCGTAGTTTTAACGAATTGTTATATCGTCTTACCCAGGACGCCTTAGTGTATGGATCAATTATAAGAAATTCAGTGTAAGAAACAAGGAAATTGAACATAGAATAGGCTCAGCAATATGTAAACTGTCAACTTTCTTGGATTAATGGTTAAGAATGGTTTCGCGTGAATGAAGCTTTTAGGTCTTCGTGAGGACCATTCTTTTAAGAACCTTGTGGACTGGCGCTACAGAATCACACAAAATAAAATCTTTAGCAAATCTTGAGAAATTCCAAGAACTAAAATGGATAACGCACACAAATCAAAGAAAATAATGACATCTTCAAGATATTGACGTTCCAACCTTTTCTTTAAAGAAACGGTTAGGAACGAAACCCGCATCTGTAATTGGAAAAGTCATAATAGTGGAATTCAAAAACATATTTTCCTAAAAAATTGTTTTAAGAGAAAGATTTTATAAATTTCACTCGAAAGTAACAGGCAGCTCGGGCAACGAATGCCGAATGTTTTCATATAAGTAACTGCTAATTTTACCATTATCATTAGAGATCCCACGTTAAACCTTCTAGCTAATTAGAGATTAGAACAGATACTACACTTTGATACCATTACATCGGCCAGCAAGAAAGGAAAAAATTAACTAGAGTTGCACTAGCTTCACGTCTAATGAAGACCGACTTTTTTTTTCTTACAAGGATTATTACGCTTAATATTACCAAACGTATCAGAATATTTTGTGTACTACTTCGTTATTTAAGTAGTATCTTTATTTTCTATCCTTCATGACAATATTCTTTTTTTATGATAGAATCATAAAGGGAAACACATCCATTTTACAATGCCTTAACTTTTCAGATTCTAAAAATAGCATTTTCGATGGAAAGAAATAGGTAAACTCAAGCACAATAAAATCTACAAAGTTCATAACAGCCACACTCTCATATACACACGAACATGGATACCCACACACACACGTACGCACACACACGTACACATTGAGGAAAACAACAGTATCTGCTCCTCGGACGTGTACCTCCCCCCACACTCCTTGCACGCGCCCGTAACCTTGGTTACGATATCTGTCTCGTGCAAGTTTGAATCCATTTATCAAGTACATTTTAATCTCCCTGATCAGGGGGTTGACATATGGGCCGTTCCGACCTGTTAAATAGGAAGAATGACTACGTTAGCCGGGTCACACACTGATGCAACTCAATGGCGAACCGGGTTGATAACCGAAGTTATTCAACCGACAGGAAGCACATTACTGGCGGAGAGTTGTGCAGCTTTTAACTCAATGACAGACCGAGTTAATAGTTTCAGCGTTAGGTCACTGAAAAGGGTGGCGGGAACGAATGCCGCTCATCAAGGAGTATTCTTCTTTTTTTTCCTTTTGTTATTGAAATTTACGTTGTTTGAAGGAAGATGATTTTACAGTTTGTCCTTCAAGTTTAAATGATCACTCTTTGCTTCTATCCTTTTTAGTCAAAGGCCCGATCTAAAGTATAATCGAACAACAGTCGTTCAATAATTTTCAGCATACTGCACAATCGCTCCACCCGTGCTTATTTGATATCATAGTGCTTATTTGATATCATAGTGCTTATTTGATAAGCTTAACTTAGTTTCGTACATAAACTAAATTTTTAAAAAAATGACTTTAAATAAATTTTTCTATGTGACTTTTTAAGATGTTTGCGATCATGATTCTCCACGGTTTCCTATCCTTTGTCGACTTACCACGCCTCCCAATCCATGTTCTACCATTTATACTCGCTTGTTAGGTAGGTTACTCACTCTTTCCATCTGCCTCTCCTGTTTTCGATACACACTTTGAGTGCCAAATTCTCTAAGCTTTCTTTCCTCTTTGTGTCCTAGATTCTTCAACTATTCTTTTATGATTTTAAATACTAAGTATTTTTGTTCCCTTCTTACTTAAAACCTCATTACTCACATACTCTGCCACTGTCGTCCTCAGCATCCTTCTGCTTTTGGAAGGCATCTTTCTCTGTTCCAATGCGCTCTCGGATTTCGGTGTCACGTTTTCTGTCATCTGTTAAAACACTTTCCACGTAGTTAGATTTCCGTAAGTGCTTGACTTTGACATCCCGTAGCTTGCATCTTCGGTTGTTCCTCTGGGGTTAAGCCTGAATCTCAATAGGCGTTCAAGGCAAAGAGCCTCCCCTTGAGGGTACAACCATCCATCATAATAGATGAATGTTCAAGATCTTTAGTGGGACATCACTTGTTTAGTCTTGGAGTTAATCAGTGTTACAAGCCAGTTTCCCACCCCCTTTGCGTCACCGGGTGGG